CTCCATGGTGGGAGTTAGTTAATGGTTGAGAGCACTTGAAGGTGCTTGGGAGTGAACGGTTTCTTGAAAGGTTGTTGTCAAATAAGGAAATTTTCGATTGGAAATTGATTTGCGGGAAAGAGTTTTTTATATAGAATTATATTACTATTGTTATTTATACTTTATATATTATAAATGCAAGAGATAATTGATTTCTATATTTTTTATCTTCTTGTTTGAGTCTAGAGGTCTGAACAATTATAGATTGTCAATTTGTTTTTCAACATATAATTATACATTATTGAACCCAATTTAAAAATAATTTAATATTAATAATATTATGCATCTCTTATCTGATTTTTAAACCAATACAATATGTTTAATTGTAAAGATTTTATAAAGTTTCACAATTTTTTCAAAAACTTTGAAAAAACCTTTAAAAAAATTTTTAACAAAATAAATAATAATAGATTTACTGAAAAAGATTATAAAAAATTTATAAATATCACATAAAATCTTAATATAAATAGTTTAAATGATCAAATTATAAAAAATCTTGATGAATATTCTAAAGAAGATTTATTTATTAAAAAAAAATTTAAACAAATTTATGAGATTTTGCTTCAAATAGATAATTGCAAAAAAAATTATACTCTTAAATAAAAAAAACTATTTAGAAAATATAAAAATATAATTATAAATTTGAAAAAAGATATCATGACATTATTTACTTATTTCAAAAATTATATTATAAAAACACTTTCAATTTTGAGAAATAATAAGATTTTCAAAGTCAAAAAAGAAAATTATATAAAGAAAATAAAAAAGATAGGTTATTTTTTATATTATAATTTAAGAATACTTCTATATACCTAACTTATCAACATTTATTATTCATATCAATTTATTGAAGAAAAACAAGAAAATATCAAAAAAAATTTCAATAATTTTAATCAATACATATTAAATGTTATTGAGTTCAAGATATACTATAATATTTAAGTTAAATTCAAACTTTCAGAAAAAAATTTAGAAAATAAGATAATGAATTTAAAAAAAGAAATCAAAAATTTGAAAAAAAATAATTTCATAATATAATAGTAATATTTATAATATTTTCTTTATGGTTGCAAGTATTATCAGTATTGGTTTTATTGACATTTGTGTTGCCAGCACATTTTAAATACCTTTTGTAATTACTATACTCAATAAAATTATATGCAAAACTATTCTAGCTAAAATTGTATACAGAACTACTTTATCTAAAATTGCATGCAGAACCACTCTAGTTATAACTGATTATAGTTGTTTTTACATAGCTCTTAAAATAAAAAATTCAGATATAAAACTATTGATTATATTATTTTATAATAATTATTTTAACTAATTTTTTATAATATAATCTTTTAGTCATCAAAAATAAGCTTTAAAAAAAAACAAAATACTGTATATATGATAAACAGATTGAAAAAGTATTTAAATAATCTGAATAGATTATAAAATCATTAAAGAAATTTAATGATATTGCAGATATTACTTCTATATTTTAGAAATATGTTAATTTATTCTTAATTAATTGTTTGAAAACTGAATTGCTTTATAATAAGTTTTATAATAATATTAATGATAATATATATAAACTTCTTGTAGATTATTGAATTGTATTTATCAATAGTTTAGATAAATATGTTTTTAAAGTGATTAAAAATAAGGCCAAGAAAAATAAAATATAGAAATTATAATTGTTATTTGATAAATAAAAGAATTATTATTAGAATGCAAAAATGGATATGCAAATATAATATTATATAAAAACAAGAACAAATAAAAAATATTTTCTAGAGTTATAGTTAAAAATATTATTAATTATTAATTTTATTATTGTATACTGTAATTAGTATAAAGTAAATACTTAACAAAACAAAAATATAATTTAAAAAATACCTTCAAATAAATATTTATATAAATACAAATTTTTTAATTTATAAAATATATATACTGTATATATTGTATATACGTATTTTGTTAAAAAAAACATCTAATACAATATTTAAAAAAAATAATTCAATAATGATAATTTGATCTATTAAAATTTATATCTATTTAACAGACTATAAATCTATTGTTTGAAACTTAGCAATAAAAATATTGTATATAATCCTGTGTCATTAAATAAAAATTCTTTATATAATTTTACATATTATTCAAAAAACCATTTGCTCTATAAATTATAGGGTATAGTCATTAGTGCATAAAAATTCATTCTTAGAATTTAATTGATTAAATAATTCATATATATATAAAAAAGCATTTTCAAAACCCGTGGGTCTATAGTGTAGTGGTTAATACTCCACAGGTCAAATCACAAAATACCAGTTCAACCCTATATGAGGGCAGTTGAATAGAATTAATATGGTATCTAGCACCATAACCTGTTAAGTGCTATTTCTCATGTGAAGTCGTTTCACATGCTGATCCAGCGAGCGTTGAAATTGTGATTTTCAGATAATTGTTGTCAAGTTTGGTATAATTCCCAGTTCCACAATAGGCCATTTCTCTTTCCCTATAGTCCATAAGACTATAAAAGAAATATATTATGAAGGGTCACAAATCAAAGAAATTGAACAGCAAGACTATAACACAATTATCCCTTCAGTATAAGTTATGACTCGCCAAGCAATACTTACCATTCTTACCTGTAGTGAAGGTACTCAGTTGGTAATGTTTGCCAGAATAGAAAATCCCTCTAAGATCTAGCCTAACTTTAGAGGAGTTGCATTCTCTTAAAATAAGTAGCTTATGCTTGAAGCCCAGCATTATCTAAAGGGATTGGATTGTCAACCCCGTAGATTTAAAAGTATTGAACCAAATCTTGGCCATAGGTTCCATTCGCTTTCCAAATAGTAATTCTTTAGGTTTAATACCTTACGAAAAAAAACTGGGAAAGATAGAGACACAGTACTCCAATAGATAATTTGTTTAATGTTAAAGATCCTTACTGAAAGGTTTACATCTTATAGTTGAAAGATGTAAGAAAATATTTGAGTGGCAGACTATACTCAAATGGTTTGATGGCCCGTAAATAGATTCTAGTTTAGATATAGGTTTAGTATAGATTAACGTTGTATATACTTTGTATGTAAGGACTTATTTACAAATAAACTGGACTAGAGTGTTGTCTCACTTTAGCAATTTAAAAAAAAAACATTTTCAATAATATCATATTGAAGAGGTGGTATTTTTCTATTTAAATAATAATATCTTAACTCAATATTACAAAAGTGACAAATTAGGTTGACCTATCTTTCAACAGTTAATTTTTAATAATAATATAGTGTTTTTTGTATAGTTATAAATGTAAGAAAGAGCTTTGAATTATAATAACCTTTTATAGCTTATTAGTATATTAGTTCTGGAATAATAATATCTATAAATTTGATTAATTTAATTTTTATAACAATTAAATTCAAGAATATTAAAAATATTTTTTAAAAAGTTTTTTTAAAAAATTATTTAAGAATATTAAATTTTTATTAATTTAAATTACTGTATATTATTTGGTTGTTGAATTATAAGTAATTTGATTTAAAATTATTAATAAAAATATATGATATAATGCAAATAATAATAACAATTTTTTAAAAATTATATTGTAATTAATATTTCAATAAATAATTATTTTTTATAATTTAATACTTTATTAACATATTTTTGAAAATATAATTAAAAAAAGTAATCAAATAATTTTAAAATAATAATAATAATTTTTTGATATATTTTGTTTTCAAGTTAAAGATATTATTAAAACATTTGATTTAAAAATAAAATCAGAAAAATTTTTTTTAAAAAACATTCAAAAACATTTATATAATATTCTTAGATTGTTATAAAATTTTTTTACATATTTTCGATATCTACAGTATATATAAAAGAGTAAAAAAAAATTATTCAAAATTTTTTATTGATTTATAAATAAAAACACAATTACATGTATTATTATTTTTTATATTATATTATATATACATATTTTTAAAAAAAATATTAAAAAAATCTATTTATAAAAAAAAAAAGAAATAATCAAAATTAAAGAAAATTTTTTTCTATATTTAATATTTATTATAAGTTAAGTTTAAAAAGTATTTGTCAACATATAAGACTTTTTCAATTATTTGACTTTAATAAAAATTATTTTTGATTTAAATAATATAAAAATTTTTATTTGTGTATGATAAAAGTTAAAAACAAAATAAAGTTTAAATAATTTATCTTATATAAAATTTATATATATAGTCTTTAAAGGTTTAGTAAAATCTGGACTAAGGTTTATTTACAGACTCGCCGTGAACAGCAAAGCTAGATTAACGATATTTGACCAGATTGAGTCGTCGAGTGGAGAATTTGAGAATTAGCTAAATCGGCTCCGACTATGTAATAATATCAAAAAAGAGTTCTTATTCATCCGAATTCTCAATTGAATACTACCGTATAATTATGTTTTAAAAAGGTAGTTCAAGTATCGTACAAAAAAATAATATAAGAGAAAATTTCTCTTTCCTACAGAATAAACATTTATAACACTAATCTTTCCTCTGATTTCATTTAAGCAATATACTTATTTGTCCCATCGGCAAGTACAGTTCTAGTACTCAAAAAACTTTCCAGTTCGCTATTAATAACATCCCAAACTCTAATATGAATATTATTAATCCCGGAAAATTCATCTATTGAATCACTAAATTCTTCTAACAATTCAGATGCTTTTATAATATATTCGTATGTCATCGAGGGTGTTCCAGTAACTAAAAAATTATTGAAAAAAAAATTTTTTTTTTTTAAAGTAATTGCATCATTACTATTTAAGAAGATAAATTCTTTCTTTGGCATGTTTGCTTGAAGAAAACCTTCAAGGACTTACCTGAATAATTTGCGATTCGAGCGATTATACCTCTCAGATAGTTGAAAAAACTCATGAGTATTGACACAATGAAACAATAATGTGTGGTTGCGGCTTGTGAATTTGCAATTTTTTCATCCAAGGCCTCTTTAAACTTCACAATGTCCTGTCTGAACTTTACAACATTCTGGTTATATTGATCAAAATCGAGGAGGTTTTTTTTTGTCTTTTCTTGATGATCCTTAACAGACTGGTGTAAATAGTTTATGCGCGTGTTCGTGAGTTAAGTATGCAGGGAAACAGCATCTTAAACTATATAGAAAAAATGACTCACGTTTTTGACTTTATCTATTAAAGAATTTTTTTTGGCCGCGGAAACATTGTTACTCTTTAGTAATGGAAGAGTTTTTTTAACGTGATTCCTATAATAAGTAGGTAATGTCGTAGCACCTGTCGAGTTGATCATTAGACATTTATACATTTTACATAATTTATTCCATTCGGGAGCCCAACGTCTTTTGTCTTGATTGCAGAAATCTATATAAATCAATTTCTCGTAAATTTGTTGGGATTTTTGTTCAGTGCTCATACGTGCTTTATTAAATTGATCAGTGCTGTTAATAATAACTTCGATTAAGTTGTTTTTATTAACATTTATCACAGCTCTAGTAATTTTCTTCCTCTCTTCCTCGGGCAAGTTATTATTAGAGATATCAGGGGATTTTTTGGCATCCCCGGAATTAGTATCGTCAGCGTGCGAATTTCCGAAGCACTTAGACTCGATATACGTCATTTTTTATGAAAACCGAATGCAAAAGATACATTAAAGCAGACATTAAATAATTTTTACCTGTCTTAAAATTTGGTAAAATCCGCAGCATAATATGAACATATTAAGCAAGTATGGCACTGGTCAGATATGTGAACGTGCAATAATTACCCTTTTTCATTCTTGATTGTTAGAGTTTATGTACATTAGAAAGATGATTAGTCATAGATTTTTTTCTCATGTATATATTGAAACCTGTTGCTATTATCGTTTTGGACATCACGGGAGTGCGATAAGTGTTTTTTTTTTTGTCAAATAAATTTCTAGACCATTTCTATATGCCTTATCTCCTTGGTTATCTGGGTCTGGACCAGGTAAATATAAGTACATGCATTATTATATCCTTAACTAGAATCAATCAATTTTATCTAACTAGAATCAATTAAATTTATCTAACTAGAATCAATCAAATTTTGGAAATAAATGCACCTTGTTACCACACATCTTTTATTTGCTTCTTTGTGAGAAATATGAGACATACCAAGCTCGAAAATTTTGAAAATTTGCCCACTGCCGTCATAGATCTTAAAGAAGCCTTTATCAACCTTATCAATAATGTTGATGATAATGTTACCGAGGAAAAAAGAAAAGAATTTACCAATTTCGCGAAAAGTATTGATGAAGGCACCTTAGACGAAGCTGCTTTCAAGGAAATCAATGAACTCTCTAATCTCTATATAAGAATTGAGGAAAAATCTCAACAAATTTATGAGATTTTGATTCAAATAGATGGCTGTAATCCTGATTACGGAAAAAGTTGGGCACCTGAATGGGACAAATTATGTAGAAAATATAAAGATCTAATTATCAACTCGAAAAGAGATGCCGCGACATTGTCTAATTATGCCAAAAATCTCGTCAAAAAAGTTCTTCCAGTTCTAATGAATGACAAAGTGTCTGAGAAAAGAAAAGAAAAGTTAATAAACCAAATCAAAGAGGTGAGTCATTTTTTTTTAATACCGCTTAAAATCACTCTTTCCTGTATATTTGACTTACGAACACGCATCATTTACACTAGTCTATTAAAAATAATCAAGAGAAGGCAAAAAAAAACGCCCTCGATTTTGATCAATACATGCGGGATGTTTTAAAGTTCAGAGTGAATTATAATAGTTGGGCTCAAGACAATCTTGTGAAGATAGAGAACTTAAAAGCTGAAATCAATAAGTTGAAAGAAGAAATTACACGTTATGATAATGATATTCATAAAACTTCGTTTAAGATAGGAAGTATTTGCGGCATTGCTTTCCTTGGCATTTCTATTTTTGTTGCAGCATATTTTGCACCTGCTGCGCTCCTCTCGTTTAAGTATATCGCGGCTGGAACTGTTGGAACACTTGGAACGTTTGGGGCTGGCTATGGCTGTTCCTATGCAGTTCTCAAGACAAAAATATCTGGTATAAAAGTATTGATTATGTCATAAATAATAATTATCTCAACTAATTTCTTCCAAAACAATTTTATTAGGTATGAAAAATGAGCTCGGTAAAAAAGAAGAAGAACTTATTATGACACTAAAAGCGTCTGAATTGTCCGGACAAATCATCGAACCATTAAATGAATTTTCTCGTATTACAAAAATTATTTCTAAAATCTGGGAAGTTATCGTTCGCTGTTTGGATTATTTTTTGAATGAATCGAATTATCTCCTGTTTTTGAACAATACGCCGGGAGAGTTTGAATCTCTCGCAAAATATTGGATTGTACTTGCCGAATGTTTAGATAGATATGTTGCTGAGGTAACTAAGGTTGATTAAAAAGACAGTTAGTTGTATAAATATTTGTTTTTTTTGATAAAATAAAGAAGGGTACGAAGAGTCATTCTTACGATGCGAACAGATCCTATGAATATGATTGGCAACGACTAAATTTTAATATAGTCTTATCGATTATCAGCATTATTTATCCTTACATTAAAGTCGAAAAAAAAATGTCATCAATATACAGTATGTGCATTAATTTTTAACTTTTTTTATATTTTAGTTTATATCGCAGTCAAGATTCTTTTTTTTTTTAATAAAAAATTATTTGATTTCTTTAAGTTTGATTGCGATGTTTTTTATTAAACTGTTGTGATCTAATTATATAGAATATTTATTTGCGATTTGGTGCAAAAATCTTTGGAATTTTTTAAATTTTTATTTTGCCTTAAAATTTAATAGATAATGAGCAAAATAAAACAATAGGCATACGATACACTGTACAATATAGATCTTAGTTAAAGCTTCAAAAAAGGGAAATTATTTGAAATAAAAAACCATTTAAAAGCAATTGTTTATGAACTGTAGAAAATAATTATAAATAAAATATAGCTCATTGTGAAAATATTGATTGCTAGAAATTTTCTTTTAAAAAAATCTATAAATAAAAATATAATTAATAAATATTCATTAAAGAGCTTTTGATTTTCAAATATAATTTAAATGATAATATTTATTATAATATGATAAAAATTTTATACATAATTCGAATTTTTGGTTCTTTAAATAAGATATCTGTACATACTGCGTATAATATACTGTATATAATTAAAATCTATATTGCGATGTTTACAGCAATACGCATTGATTTAAGGAAAACGATATCCATTAGCTTTCTCGACTTTGATTTCAATCATAAACATTTATGTGATGATTTAGAAACAGTGAATTCAAACATTTGGTTCGTTGCGCGAAGAATGATTAAATAGAGATTATTTGATCATTAAAGTTTTCGTTAAAGTATATCCGTGCTGTAATCGATTGCGCGAAAACAACTTGCTGAAATTTTATGTTTACTAAAACATTAGAGTATAATAGCTTTAATAAACAGAGTCAATAATATCAAAAAGAAAATCCTTTTTCACCCGAATTCCCAATTGAATGCTATGATAATGTAATGTAATTAAAAAAGGTAATTCAAGTATCATATATAAAGAGACGATATCAGGAGAATATTCATCTTTCATACAGAATAAAAAATTTTAACACTAATCTTTTTTCTCCTATTTCATTTAGGAAATACGCTTATTTCTGCCATTGATAAGTCTGATTTTAGTATTCAAAAAACTTTCCAATTCGTTATTAATAACACTCAAAACTTCAGAATGAATATGATTAATCTCGGAAATTTTTTCTATAGAATCACTAAATTCTTCGACCATTTCAGATGCTTTTCCAATACATTCATATGTCATCTTGAGTGTCTCCTTAGTGCCTAAAAAAATTATTGAGAAAAAAATATTTATTTAAAATAATCGAATCATTATTTAATAATAGAAATGGATCTTTCTTTAATAAGTATTGTGATTTGAAAAGAGCCTCACTTGAACAAATTTCGTTTTGAGCGTACATATAGATTTGCATAATGGAGCAACCACGTAAAATTACTTTTTTCTGATGTATAGTAACTTCCTCTTTGAACTTCACAATGTCCTGTCTGAACTTTATAACATCATGTTGGTATTGATTAAAATCGATGAGGTTTTTTTTTGTCTTTTCTTGATGATCATTAATAGACTGATGTAAATAGTTTATGTGCGTGTTCGTGAGTTAAGTATGCAGGGAAACAGCATCTTAAACTATATAGAAAAAAAATTACTCACGTTTTTGATTTTCTCTATCAAAAAAATTTTTTTCGCCGCAGAAACATTATTACTCTTTAGTAATGGAAGAGTTTTTTTAACGTGATTCCTGTAATAAGTAGGTAATGTCGTAGCATTTGTCGAGTTGATCATTAGACATCTATACATTTTACATAATTTATCCCATTCAGGAGCCCAACGTCTTTTTTCTTGATTGCAGAAATCTATATAAATCAATTTCTCGTAAATTTGCTGGGATTTTTGTTTAGTGCTCATACGTGCTTTATTAAATTGATCAATGCTGTTAATAATAACTTCGATTAAGTTGTTTTTATTAACATTTTTCACAGCTCTAGTAATTTCCTTCCTCTTTTCCTCGGGCTGGTTATTATTATTAGCGACATCAAGGGATTTTTTGGCATCCCCGGAATTAGTATCGTCAGCGTGCGAATTTCCGAAGCATTTAGACTCGACATATGTCATTTTTTATGAAAACCGAATGCGAAAGATACATCAAAGCAAACATTAAATAAATTTTATGTGTCTTAAAATTTGGTAAATCCGCAGCATAATATGAACATATAAAGCAAGTATGGCACTGGTCAGTTGACGTAACCATATTAACATATAATATATGAACATGCAACAATTACTTACCCTTTTCATTCTTGATTGTTAGAGTTTATGTACATTAGAAAGATGATTAATCATAGATTTGTTTCTCACTTATATATTGAAACCTGTTAATATCATCTTACTTAACCTTGTTCTTTTGGACATCACGGATGCAAGAGACATAAATTTTCTAAACCATTTCTATATTCCTTTCTCCCTGGTTATCTGGACCAGATAAATACAATTATGGATTGGCGATTTTTGTTTTCAATCGATTTCTGACGTGTAATCATGCATGATTGAAAAAATCATTTAATATCCCTAACTAGAATCAATCAAATTTTCGGAAATAAATACATTTTGCTACCACGTACTCTCGTCCGATTTTTAAAGACAATATGTACACACATACTAATTGCGAAGATCCCTTAAATTTTCCCAATTTTCTCAAAAAATTTGAGGAAACCTTTAAGGGGATTTTTGGCAAAGTAGTTGATAATAAGTTTACCGAGAAAGAATATAAAGAATTTACCAAGGCCGCGAAAAATATTGATATAAATGGTCTGAATGACGAAAATATAAAAAATCTCGATGAATATTCTAAAACATATCTACGCATTAAGGAAAAATCAGAACAAATTTATGAGGTTTTGCTTCGAATAGATGGTTGCAATCTCGACAACAAACGTTGGGCTCCTAAATGGAACACATTATGCAGAAGATATAAAAATCTAATGATGAACTCGAAAGAAGTTGCCAAGACATTGTCTACTTATTCCAGAAATCACGTCAAAAAAACACTTCCAATTTTGAAGAGTGACAAGGTTTCCAAGGCCGAAAAAGAAAACCACATAAAGCAAATCATAAACGTAAGTCGCTTTTTTATTATACTCCTTCTACATACTCAACTCATCAATACCTATTATCCATACCAGTTTATTGAAAAGAATAAAAAAAAGGCCCAAAAAAATTCTGAAAATTTTGATCAATACAAGCTAGATGTTTTAAATTTCAAGGTGGATTATAATCGTTGGGCTGAATCCAAACTCACAGAAGAAAGTTTAGAAAAAAAGAAATCGAGTTTAAAAGTTGAAATCAAAAAATTGAATGAAAATATTTCAGTGTATGATGGTAATATTAATAAAATTGCCTTCACGGTTGCAAGTATTGTCGGCATTGGTTTCATTGGCATTTGTGTTGCTGGCGCATTCCAAGTACCTCTTGCGATTACTGTACTCAATAAGATTGCATGCGGAACCACTCTATCTAAAATTGCATGCGGAATCACTCTAGCCGTGACTGCTTATGGCTGTTCCTACGCAGCTCTTAAAACAAGAAATTCAGGTATAAAACTATTGATCATATTATTCGATAATAATCATCTCAACTAATTTTTTACAATATGATCTTTTAGCCATCAAAAATAAACTCAAGAAAAAACAAAATATACATGACGAACAGATTGAAAAGGCATCTGAATGGTCCGAACAGATTATAGAATCATTAGAGAAATTTGTCAATATTGCAGATATTATTTCTACATTTTGGGAACTTATTAATTTATATTTGGATGACTTTTTGGGAACCGAAGCGATTTATGGTGATTATTGGAACAATCTTCCAGAAGATGAATATAAACGTCATGTAGATCTTTGGATTGTATTTTCCAATAGTTTAGATAGGTATGTTTCTCAAGTGACTAAAGTTAAGGTTAAGAAGAATTGAATGTAAAAAATTATAATTGCTATTTGATAAATAAAGAAAGACCCAAAGGATTATTATTAAGATGCAAACAGAGATTAATTAATATTTTATTTTATTGTTAATTATTGATGTAAGAAAATGGCAACACAAATGTAATATCATGAAATAAAAAATATTTCCCAGTGCTGCAGTCAAAGGTATTATCGATCATTAATTTTATTACTGTATACTGTAATTAGTATAAAGTAAATACCTAATAAAAGAAAAATATAATTTCAAATAAATATTTACATAAATATAAATTTTTTTATTTCATGAAATCTACAGTATATACAGTATATATTTTATTGGAAAAAACATCTGATGAAATATTTAAAAATAATAATTCAGTATATGATAGTTCGATCTACTAAATTTGTGCCCACTTAACAGACTATAATAAATCCATTGTTTGGGACTTAGCGATTAAAATATTGTATATGCTACTGCGCCGTTAAATAGAGATTCTTCGTGTGATTTTACATGTGAACTTATTTCATTATCTGGAAGATCTTTGCTCTATGAATTACAGGGTGTGATCGTTAGTACTTGAAAATTCATTCTTAGAATTTAATTGGTCAAATGAAGCAAAAATTCATACATATATGAGAAGACGTGTTCAACCGCATCATATTGAAGGAGTAGCACTTTCTTATTTAAATGGTGATACCTTAACTCAACATTGCAAAGTAACAAACTCGGTTGAATTATCTCTCAACAGTTAATTCCTGATAGTAATATAGTGTTTTTCATGTAGTCGTAGGTATAAGATGGGATCTTTGAACTATAATAACCTTCTATAGCTCGTCAGCATGTCGGTACTGGGATAGTGATGTCTATGAATCTGATTAAGTAAGCTAACTCCTTGAACTTTTTGTTTGTTATTTATAAATATTAACCAAAAATTACCTATAAGATAGAAATTTTTTCGAAAAAATTAAACATAAAAAGAAGGTACGAAATTTGAAAGATTTGATTTATTTTTTACATTCCTATTTACTTATTCCATATCTTGTTATGAATGTTCTAGCACGATAAACAAAAAATCATAACAGAACATTATAAACAAGAAACCTTAACAAAATATAATAAATATTACTCCGATAAAGACAGGTTTGAAATATTTGTTATTCAAATTTTATAATAAATATGGAGCTTTGCATTTTTTAGTGTTCTATTTAATTAAGGTTCATCGCGAATTTCACATATAATACAAATGCACTTGTAGTAAATTTTACCAAGGAACTCGATGAACTTGCTGAAGAAACAACTAATTACCTTCTCGTATATTACAATAAGACTGACAAGGTAATGGCAATTCGTATAGATTCGCCATCAGAATATACAGTATTTGAGGAATAATGAGTAACAAGTCATCCTTTAACTTAATTCCACTTATTATGAGGAACGCGTCATATTTCAAATTAACTTTGCAGATTCCATTTCCATGACTACATTCCAAAAAACCGATGTTGAGAATACCGACTTAAAAATAGATAATGAAGGAAAACTCGTTACAATATTATTTCACAACACCAGTATCAGGATGGCAAACATACTAAATTAAGTAGCAGGGAAATATCATTTATAATCATTTATTAAAAATTTTTGATTTCTATACCAACTAGCAAATATGCAACTTCAATTTTTGGAATTACTATACAGTATATGGTCTTCATATTACCAAACATACCTTAAAACAATTCTGTTTTCTTCACATAATTCTTGCTGTTTAATGAAATTATCGGAATTTCCTTGGTGAAAGAATTCAATATATTTTTCATGTTGTTGTTCTTGTACTTCGATTGCAAAAACTACATTCCGGATAAAAGATATCGAGTTCTAATCCCATTATTTGGGGTTTTAAGAAAATAAGGTCCGATTCTTAGATGGCGGCGATTCAAGATAATTTCACAACATAAATTTTCACACATATACAGTAAACTCTTGATAAAAGAAAAAATTTTTAAAATAAAATACAAATAATAAAAAAAAATACAATATAAAATAGAAGTTTTAATAAATCTTATTTTATTTTTTAAAATTTTCTTAATATATTTTTTATAATAAATTTTAAATTTTAAAAAATTGACCTTTAGCTTATGAAATTATTTAAAAATAAATTTATACTATCAAAATTAATATGTAGTATATACACACCCCTACAGTAAATTACCAGGATGAATTATTGTGATTGGTTGATCATGATAAAAAAAATTTTTTTAAATTATTTTTCCTTCTTAATTTTTGTTATGTACCCAAAAAAATTTTTTTCATGTTACTCTCTTCATTTCACAGTTTTCTGTCATACTAAAAATGCAGGGTTCCAAGCTAAGCCCCCAACAACGTGAACAAATAATTGGTACACATCTTTCAGGTACTAAAGGCTAAATTATTTTCTCTCAATTTGGTATACCTTTTTCAACAGTTTATAACACAATAAATTGCTATAAAAAAAACAATTTCCCTCACCCTAATACACATCCTGAATGACCAAGATTCCTTTCTGACTGTGATCAGCGGATAATATGATGTTATATTCAAAAAGATCTTTTCGTGCCCTAGACAACATTTCGAATGACATAAATATCCACCTTACCTCAACATTTTATGCAAATATTATTCAAAACTACTTATATGAAATGAGACTAGGGAGTTGCACAGCACAAAAAAAGCCTCTTTTATCAAATAAACAATGTTTAGTTTGACTTAATTGATGCAGAACCAAACGTAATTGAGACGAGGAATGGAAAAGAATTGTGTGGTCTAATGAATCACAATTCACCTTATTCGAATCTGACGGACAAGTATGAGTTTGACGCAGGGTTGGAAAAGAATATAATATAGATTGAATTAAGCTTACTATAAAATTTGACAGGAGATTAGCTATGTTTTGAGACTGTTTCTTGTGGAATGGTGTTGGCCCCTTAGTACTCATGGATCAAATAATGAATTTGGAGACTTATATAAACGTTTTACCCATCAACTTTATACCTTGGGTTCATAATAGTCCAGGCACCATATTTCAACAAGATAGTACCAGTTGTCACACTGCTCAATATACAACTTGATGGCTCAAATCACATGCAATTTAAGTCTTGAATTAGGTTGCTCAAAGTCCCGACCTCAATTCAATTGAAAATTTGTAGGACTATTTAAATCATCAGATCCGAAAAAGAAAACCTTTACCTGTATCTAGACAAGGTCAGAGAACTAATACAAGAGTTCATAGAAAGTGGGAAAAAATGGTTAGCGCTTAAATAAAAACTCAA